AAACAACAAATCATTTTTGTTCTCCATTCACTTCATCCACTATGTCCACGATGCGAGTCTTTGTGTTATGTTCCGCTGTTAGTAGCTCCAGTCACAATTGAACCTTTTGGCTCTTAATTTAAAGCGTCAAGGTCGTAAATGTGATTAATTAGCTGAAATTACGGAACAGCTCCGAGAGGACGAGAAATTGCGTTGTCCTGTGTTCTGTGTCCTTTCGATTTGGTTTTGAAAAAACGAAACAAATTTTTCTCTATAATTTTTTTGTGTCAAGTTAAAATAAAAAAAAATTAATTTAAATTACAGCTTTTATTCTTGTATTTTTTAATTAAATTTGATGTGTGAGCATCCATTTGCCACTTAAAATTTACAAAATGAATAGTAAAAAATCTTTTAATTTTTATGAAAATAAAAAAAAACTTAAAAATATTATTTATCCGTTACTAGTTGAGTATTTTGCTATGAGAACATTTTTAGTTATATCAAAAAATAATCAAGACATTTAAGTATACATACATTGTTACATATATAACAAACATTAAATTTTATAATTAAAGTAATTAGTATAATGAGATTAGGAGAGAATCAGTAGGCAAGTGAAATAAAAAGAAAGTCAAGCATCAAGTCTGAAAAAGAGGTCAAGACCAAGATATAATACAATCATCAATTTATAGTATATATCAAAAATCTACCAGATATGTAATTGTGTCATCCAATTATGTCATGTGACGTCCAATAACTTTACTTCTTGTCATTGAAGCTATCAGACTGAAGAAAGTTGAAACATGATACCGAACGAACAATATCGATTTAAAGAAGAGAATACCACTTAATTACAACTAGTAAAAGTAAAATTATTAGCGGTAAATATTAATGTAATTATCCCGCTAGGCATTTTGATGAAGATATAAAAGCTTGTACTAATGATCATTGTCGTGGAGTCAAATAAAAGTCATATCTTCTCATAAAACAGTTTATATCTTTTCTTGTGAGTTTACAAAAAACACTCTACTGAACTCTATAAATGGCGAGAATACAGTACATTTGAAGACAGCAGAAAAAAATAATTATAATTTTGGCCATATATGTTAAATGAGTGGTCAGTCCATTCCTGCAGATTTTTTAATACTAACTAACAGGTTTTTGCTTAACAAGAAATTCCATATTAAAATTGGAAATCTTCTGCCAACAATCAAGCGAGTGGAAGCGGTAGTTTCAAAAGGCTATAAGATATAGTACACAACTATCAATCAGAAAGGGTGAAAGTGCTTAGATTATCTTTTAGTTTTTCGCCTAGCAATTTATCTTTGTCATTTGCTTTCTTCTTCAAATAATTAAGAAAAAAATGCAATATCGACGGAAAATAAGGAGGCATCGCCTTTTTTTAGTAAATGATTTAATATACTGTACACTACCCAGTGTACCCAGTGTGATATTTAAGAAAAAAAAAATTATTTATTTTTTTAATATTTCAAACTAGTAATATTTTTTATATATTATAATATATATTATATAGTAATATTGAGTTTTAAAGTTTGTAGATTTAGTTTAGCTTTATGAAGGACAAAGCACACAGCCCACCTTTTTATTCTTCTCTTGTGTTCTGCTATTATTAGATAATAAATATACCTAGGATTTACCTCCTTAAATTTCAATCTTAACTAGCTTAATAAGAAATATTTTTACATGAGTAAAACAACAGATCTATAAACAAAGATTTGAAGATTAATATTGACCCTTTGATTCTTACTTAAAGAATCATTGATTAAAGTTTAAACAATGTGGTTTTGTTTTTTTATTTAGTTTCGTATAAAGTGAAAAGTAGGCCATAGTTAAAATGACCATTGAATATACTAAAATGTCAATAAAAGTGTTACTATAAAGCACAGACACTTTAGATATTAATCTTAAGAAATATAGGTAAATAAGAAATTTATTTTGAATCGAAGAATTGAAGATTCGATACTAGTTCCAACAGTTTAATATACTTAGAATTTAAAGAAATAATAATGCCATATCATCTATGTTTTTTTTTTAATAAATTAGCAGTTTGTTGTGTTGGGATTATCATAATTACCATCATATATGCCAATACACATTATGGCATTATGGCAAATCTAGCTCATATCTCTTAATTTAGTTATAGTTATGATGCTTTCATTATAACTTTGGTTCTACTCTTATGCCGAGATATTTTGCGGTGTCCGAGTATATTATATCCAAGCCATCTTTTGTTATAGATTTGTGAAATTTACATATATACACTATCATTAGTTTTTAACAATCAATTTGTTTGGTTTTTCGAAGTGTTTTTCTAGATTTATATACTATTACTTACAAGCTGGAAAAGTTTTATTAGTTATAATTGAAATTTTTTTCTATTTAATGCTGCAATGCAGATTACATAGCTGAATATCCTAAGCATTATATACATTGTCCTTCTCCGCTTAATATATATATATATATATATATATAAATCGAAAGTAAACATCTTTTAGTTCAAAAAAAGACAAAAAATGCTTGGAGCACAAAATATTTCCACTTAAAGAAAAGCAAAAGTCATTTAGGAAAACTTTATTGGACGCTTGTTAAACTGATTTGGAAAATTTTTATGGCTTTGTTCTTGGTGACCATGAAAATTGCCATAAATTTTATTGCTTCCTGCAAAATGTAACAGTTTTTTTCATACTGTTTTCTTTTTTGTAGTCTCAGAGAAATCCAAGTATTAAAAAATGATTTAAGGCCCTTAGGAAACTACTTTTGCACCAAAGCACAAAGTTTACACAAAACTTTTTACAATAGAATTAACAAAGCAAAAATATAACAAAAATCAATCTATTACATTTCGTATTCCGTATTATTTCATTTGAGAAGTTTGTCAAACTTCCACTTACAATCTCAGTGGTTCTGGTAAAAATATATCTGGTAAAAAAGTATCTGTTAAAAAAAAAACTTTAGTTTTGTTCTAATTTTATTGTCCTTACACACCATAAAAATAATAATTAAGTATTAAAAATGAAATATCAATTACGTTCTCGTCTATAGTCGATACTGATGCTACCCCAAAAAGTAAATACCACTCACTCATGTTCTAATTAAATTTTCTACAAATCTATTTAACTTCCTCACCCATATTTAAGTCTGGTTATCTTATTCTGAAAAGAATAACAGCCACAGAAAGGAAAATTTTGTTTGTTACCATATCCACCAAGTGGAAAATGTGATAGATAAGTTAGATACATTCATACTAGTTAGTCTAGTAAGTTTCCACATTGGCAGCTATTATTAAACGATCCTTATGCTAAAATTAAAAGGTTCTACTTATGGAGACTTCGAGTTAGAGAATTTTTTATTTTTTTTTCATTTTTGAAAGAAACTAGAACCACATTTTAAGATACTTATTTATTTCAGATCAAATACAGCACAGAAGTAATAGTGCACAAAAATATTCTGAAAGTAGGGTTTGGATTTTTTTTTTTGTTTTCTATTTTCAGTTAAAAGAGATTCCAATTTATTCCAAGCCTTACAGTGATCATCAGTTGTAGTGTCATTCGTTTGCAAATAAAAATTCAGAATTATGAATGAATTCTCTACTTCATTCTTGGAAGACTGATGAACAATTTCATTTACCGAACACTTATCATCACTTTCCGTTGCGCTTAGAATCGGACCCACTAATTGAGAGCTATAATGCTCAATAATATCGTCATCTGTAGGAAAGATTGATGTACAAATTTCGTCGTCAAGCTCAATATAATCGTTAAGAGTTTCATTGGAAGTTATTTTATTCACTTTAAACCACATTTGGTTTGGAAAAAGAGACTTCCCCTAACACTAAAATGGATTCATACTTAAAATAAAAATTCGACTAAAAGAATGCACTTTCCCATATTCCTATTGGTACGTGGCAATATTTTTATTCGAGTTATAGAGAAATTCGAGTTATAGAAGTTTGACTGTATTTGCACTGCAATGAGGCGGGTGTGAGAAACCAGTAGTGCTCTTCAAGCACACAATCTATCTTCGTATGTTCCTCCATTGTTCCAACTCCTAAATCTTTATTAACGTCGTATTTTATGATGTGTAAAATCATCATTGGAAATTATAGTTACCATAGTATATTATCATAGGTCATTATCATGTATATAACATAGGAGTGACCTGACCTTAATGAGTTAGGTATGTTGTTTAAATTTATTTAAGACAGTTTGATACAGTTTTCTTTATTATTGCAGCAATTTTTCAACTTGTCACAACCTATAGCATTACTTAGGTTCTCTTAAAAAACTACATGTTATATTATACAGTCACCTTAAAGCTACAATTTTTTGACTAGTTGTATGATAGGATTGCCATTTTTTTTTAATTTATACATTCTGAACACATTTGTTTTACATTTTTTTTTTTTTGCTAAGAATCTACAAGATCTAATTAATTAAAAATATTTTTTTCAGATGTCTAGTTTCAAAATTGTTTGATGTTTGTCCACGTAGTACAGTGGAAGAAATGGAACAACAGGAAGAGGTACGCGTTGCCTGGGGTACTGGAATAGCAGGTCATGTGGCAGAAAGTGGAGAGCCAGTAAACATACCAGACGCCTATCAGGTTTGTACAAAAAAGATATATTAATTTAGGTTAGGTTAGGTTATACCGGCGATGCCAGGGGGATCCACTTAGGCCTATAGGCTCATATTAATTTAAATTTACATCTTTATATATATTTATATATATATTTAAAATAATTTATTTAATTTAAAATTTATTAGTAAATATATTAGTAAATAAATATTGGTATTAAAATTTTCAAGAAGCAGTCACGTTTCACTTTAACTATCTACACACAACATGCAATGCTTAGAATCTACACACTATTACTTCTATTACTGATACTAGCTAGAAAAAGATGTATATATTCATCCGGATTTTTAATTTTAAGTCTTGTTTACATTATATTATAACTATACATACATTCATATTTTTGTATACATTATTATTATCATTATGCTTTGCTGAAAATGAAAAATATGACAGCTGGTTTATAATAAAAGTAATACCAAGCATCCATATAAGTTATTTAACTTCTAGGTTAAAATCAACTTGTAGACTTAATAAATGATTGTTCACAGTCTGCTAAAGGTCTACATTTGACAATAATATTTGTTAAAAGATTATTTTTTTTATAACATGGCATTCTTATTGAATTCGTCCCAAATTTCTTGTGGACATCCATCTGGCTTGTTACCATTTTCGACAGCCCAAAAGCATCCCAAAATTCCACCTTTCATTTTCTTGCTGTTCTGGCCTATTTTTGGATCTTCTGCAATATTCTGAGCTTCAATAGTGATGGCGTCGTCTTCGTATTGCAATTCTTCTTCGTTTTTCCTCAAAGCCTTCTCTTTCCACTCGTAACCAAACTCATACCTATAATCGCAAACTTCCTAAAATGTATTATATTATAAAAATTATCTTTTTTTTATTTAAATGAGCATACTAAATCTTTTGCAAACGGTTGCCTTGGGCTTATTATACTACTTCGTTTGCTCCAGGTGCCATAATATGATTGCTGTGGATCATCATAGAAATAAAAAAATTTAATACAAGGACCCCTTCTTTTTACACGTTTACATGAATCCTTTTTTACAGAAAACAAGGATTTTATTACTTCTGTCACACTTCCATATGGCCAATTATCATCACCAATACTAATAGCTTCTTGTTTGACTGGACTTTGTGTTATGACTTCCGTCTCATCAACCAAGCAATAAAAGTGATGATATTATTTAAATAATAATTTTGCATAAAGTAGCTAACTTACTTGTTCCTGTTCCTGACATGTAGCTGGGTTATTAGTTATACCTTCCAATTCGTGATCTGATGCCGTTTCTGTTTCTGATGGTAATATTACACTTCCATATGGCCAATTATAATCACCAATACTAATAGCTTCTTGTTTGACTGGACTTTGTGTTATGACTTCCGTCTCATCAACCAAGCAATAAAAGTGATGATATTATTTAAATAATAATTTTGCATAAAGTAGCTAACTTACTTGTTCCTGTTCCTGACATGTAGCTGGGTTATTAGTTATACCTTCCAATTCGTGATCTGATGCCGTTTCTGTTTCTGATGGTAATATTACACTTCCATATGGCCAATTATCATCACCAATACTAATAGCTTCTTGTTTGACTGGACTTTGTGTTATGACTTCCGTCTCATCAACCAAGCAATAAAAGTGATGATATTATTTAAATAATAATTTTGCATAAAGTAGCTAACTTACTTGTTCCTGTTCCTGACATGTAGCTGGGTTATTAGTTATACCTTCCAATTCGTGATCTGATGCCGTTTCTGTTTCTGATGGTAATATTACACTTCCATATGGCCAATTATAATCACCAATACTAATAGCTTCTTGTTTGACTGGACTTTGTGTTATGACTTCCGTCTCATCAACCAAGCAATAAAAGTGATGATATTATTTAAATAATAATTTTGCATAAAGTAGCTAACTTACTTGGTCCTGTTCCTGACATGTAGCTGGGTTATTAGTTATACCTTCCAATTCGTGATCTGATGCCGTTTCTGTTTCTGATGGTAATATTACACTTCCATATGGCCAATTATCATCACCAATACTAATAGCTTCTTGTTTGACTGGACTTTGTGTTATGACTTCCGTCTCATCAACCAAGCAATAAAAGTGATGATATTATTTAAATAATAATTTTGCATAAAGTAGCTAACTTACTTGGTCCTGTTCCTGACATGTAGCTGGGTTATTAGTTATACCTTCCAATTCGTGATCTGATGCCGTTTCTGTTTCTGATGGTAATATTAAATGTAAATCCTCCGGCCACAACTTGTTGGATGTGTCGTCGGCCGAATCGCCATCAACCTAAAAATAAAAACAATAATTTCACTTGAATAATATTTTTACATGAAGTAGCTACTTGGTCTTGCTCTTGATGGTTTTGTAGATTCTCAACATCATTGCACGATTCATTCCCATACTTATGCATTTCGCGTGTGGCTTCGGCTGCTCCTTCAAACGTACCTACTGGTACAAACGGCAGTTTGGTTTGTACCCATATTTTTGCACCTATCGGTTTATTCCGATTAGTATTTAACTCGTTACGTTTCATTTTACGTTTTAGAATATTCGCAGCTCTTTTTGGATTAAATTCTCTGTCACAAACTTTGTTCCTATCGTCAAACTACGACCAAAGCGCGAAATCAAATAAAGTCACACATCGCAAGTATTGCCATATAAAACCATTTTTATGATGTTCCCTACCAAAGAACATCAGACAACGCATTAATGGTTAATTAATATATGCCACTTTAGGACTTTTTTATTGCAACAAATCCACATATTAAAAATATTCTAATATTTTATTGCAATTCTTAGTTGAACTAAAGCTAAAGTAAACTATAAAAAACTATAAAAAAATTTATATTTTTACCTTTATATGTGATGATGTGCTTAAACTTTAGATTTTTTATACGAGTTAGTTTATTTGCTAAAGTAAAGTTTAAGTGTTTACACTTTAATTTTCAAAATTAGTGAACTTAGCGAACTTAAAGAAATAAAAGCGTAAAAGTAAAACAATTTATTTTTTTAATTTGCTTTTCAATCTGATTCACTGTCATATTTCCTCATTGTCTTTGGTTTTTAGTTTCGTATACCAAAACTTCGGTTACGAAAAGCAGAAAACACAACAGCATTTGTTTGCCTCTGTTCGTAATTGGTGGGGAGCAAAGCTAGTTTTACGTGTACCCTTTAGAATAGCAGTAGGTACAACATCGGCGATGTTTGCTTGAATTAAATCAACATCCAGTGGTGTGAATAGGAACACCAGCACTTTTGGAAAATGCGTTGCTATGCACATTCCACTGGCGCATTCTACTTAACGGGATGCGGCACAGCAACGACAAATGCAGGCTGAAGTGAATATCAATAAAAAGGAACAATAACATAATAAGAAAAAACAGAACAAATCAGGTTTCAATTATTTTTTGGTGCGTCATTTGTTGTTGTTCGGCGGCCATTTTTAATGAAATGGAGTATAGCAAACTTTCGCTTAAAAATCTCTTGATGTGCGTTTCTCTAAATTAAAGGCTCAGTTATACGATAGGTAACGTAAGAAATTAATTCAAAGCGAAATGCACAACCAACCAAACCTGCGTATTTGACAGGAACGAATTAAACAAAAACGCTGAACTTTGTTTATTTCGTTCCTATCAAATACGCAGGTTTGGTTGGTTGTGCATTTCGCTTTGAATTAATTTCTTACGTTACGTATCGTCTAACTGAGTCTTAATGCATTGTCGTTCGTGTTGTGATCGTGTTTTTTTTTATTCACGTTTTTGTAGATGTTCTAGGTTTTCTTGATTTTCTAGGAATACACGTGTAATTGTATAAAACGAGATTAAGTGAAATTATTGCGTGAATTTTAATAAACATAATTTTTAGTTGAATCTAAATTTATTATTATACCAAATTACAATAAAATTAATTTAAAACAAATTGATTAATTAAAATTGTTTATTGTAACGTAAAAAGAAGTCAAGTTTTTCGGGAAGCCATACTTTTTTCAATTTTATGAACTGGACTACAACGGGCGTCTTTTCCACATCATAGAAAAGACGACTAGTTTTGAACCTATGCAGCGACGCCATGTCTGGATGCATTGGTTTGAATTAAGGTTGTGGCCTATATATTCGCGTACAAGTACAAGTGTCGTAAACATTATGTATTTGTTGTTATTATTAGAAATCTGTTAAAAAATTGTTAGTGTGACTCTTGGTAAATATGTCAAATATACTTATTAATATTTGTGATATGCAGTATGCTATAATGGACAGATTTTACCAATTAAACAAATCTCCTTACAATACAAATCTTATAGTGTATTTTATAGTGTATTTCGAATTGCCATGACGGCAATATGTGACCCAAAATTTATCGCATGAATTAAGTTTAAGTGGTCAGTCACACTTTTCTTAGTCTTGATTTAAAAAGTTACAAAAAAACTCTTATGACATATGGAATAAAAAATGTCGAACAACAAAAAGGATATTGGAATTTTCAGAACTTGACTTAAGTCTCGAAATAAGCGATAAGCCAGGAATATCTATTGCGAAAGTGTATTTGAAAATGTTAAAAATTTCAAGATCTATTGTTTTATGTAATTATATATGTATGTAGGTATATATTTATGTTAATGTGTGAGCGGCATTATCTGTTCTTCTCTGGAATTGAAAAATGATTAATAATTGTATATTATTAAATAAAGTAATTAAACTCTTTCCTTTCAGGATAAACGTTTCAATTGTGAAATTGACACATTGACTGGCTATCGAACAAAAGCGTTATTGTGCATGCCCATTAAGGACTCCTCAGGCGATGTAATTGGTGTGGCACAAGTCATTAATAAATTAAATGGTGAATGTTTCTCTGAAACAGATGAAAAGGTGTGCAAATATTAAATTAAAATATTTACTACATTATTTTAAAAAAATTAAGTATATTTTTTTTGATTTTGTTATGTTTAAAGCTTATTTTGATTTTGTTGACGTTTTCCTATCAGACATCTGGGTCTCTGACAATAACTAAATTAGTGCGGAACTTGATTTTAAAGATTAATTCCACTCCCTCGTTCTTAAAAAAATTAATTTTTTAAATATTTTTTAAAATTTTTTTTTTCACATTTTAGTTACGAGAAATATTTGAAAAATTTCTCTCTTTGAAAGAGAAAGGGATTTTGGGAGAGCTATACTTAGGGTAAAAATATTAATCTATTTTTAAACGGAACAAATTTATTGAAGAAATGAAATTGTGTCTTTTTCAAATGAATAATTTTTGAATAACCCTTTATCACTTC